TAAAATTTTTAGACCTTTCAACAAAATCGTTCTTTCCGTGTTTAGATTGACATAGTGTGACTAGACGAGCATAATTATAATTATGATCGTAATTGTAATTATAATAATTATTATATATATTATAATAAATATTATATTTATTGTAATTACTATCATTGCAACTATTTAATCCATATATATTAGAAACAAAGCCCTAAGAAGTCGATAATGACGCAATACATATCGCTTTTTCGGCAAAGGACACTTTGACTACCTATATCTCTGAAATTAGCCATAGGATCGAGTTGTGCCCATTGAGACATTTGTTCAGAATGACAAGAACTACATATCAAAAATTCAGCCAATTCGACCGAAAGCACTTTTCCATAAGTTTTGTACGTGGTCCTTTGTTCAGTGTTTTTTTTTTAGCCGAATTCAATATAATTAAAAAAAATGATAGAGAAAAGATAGACATTACTAAAATGGACAAGAAATTATTATAAAAATTACTACTGTTCGTAATTTATTTCTAAAGGTTTCGTCGATTTAATCAATACGAATTGAATGACTCGATTACACTCACGGTTCACATCCAGTTCGACCTCGGAGGTCAGGGGCGTCATAAGCTGAGTATTGTTCGCCTTGCAAATTAGCTTCGTGCTCAGGAAGTCCCTGGTGACCCTCGGGATATCCAGCCGATTTATCGTTATATCGTCGTGCTCCCGCGTATACGTATCGTCCAGGACTCTGCCGTCGAAATACCACGTGACCTTCGGCGGAGGTAAACCCCCGATCACCTCGCACAACAGGGACGTCTCGCTTCCCTCGTTAAACAGTATTTTAGCCGGGCTCCTGCTAGCGCCGGCATATATCACCGGTTTTTTCGGCGGCACTGTCAGCAAATTGAATTCCGATCATATAGGAATTTATTTCCGTGACATCGGCACGCGCGCGCCACGTGTCCGTTATATCGAGTTATATATGCGCGATTTCCTTTGTTATCATTTTCTAGTAAGATCAATTTCATTCGTCATAAATCTATGCCGACACGTGGTCGCCATGTAATAATAATACCACCGATGTAATAATAACAATAACTGAAATTGTTTTAATGACTCGCGCTCGATACATAGAGAGAAATCGAAATCTATAAATACGTTAAAATATCTGAAAGTACGTAGCCAGGCAATGCTATCAAATTTCCGTATCGCGAAATGGTGCCCGGCAACGAATAGAGGCCGCGAAATGAGAATTAAGACATAAACGGCCGGAGTCTTCTATTTTTTTCTGCTAGAACACGCCGGTGACCTCAGATTAACACCTGTTGAGCCCCGGTACTATGACGTTGAATTAATTGATTGAAATTCGTATTGCTGGAAACTGAATCTCTCGACCTTACATTAACTAAACGTATGAAATCACAATGACCCCGGTTGTTTGTTTCTGCTGGAACTGATCCAACCACATCTCTCCGAGACTTCGAATAACCTCGTCTCACAGCTTTATTTCCACATGATTGTCCAATACCCGTTTCCGCGCGCGGAAGGTTGAGGTTGAGCGAATCAAACTATCTCTTTCGATTTACTACTGTTTTCCGCGGTTACGCACCGCGCGCGTAAATCTCCACCAGCGGATATAATACAAAACGTATAAATCACGAATGAATGGAGATAGCACAGCCCATGTGCGCCGCCTGATTAAAATCCCATAAAGCACACTCTGTCCGCCAACGTCGCTCTATAAGCCACAATTTTCCGTTGTAAAATGCCACACACCGCCGTAATAACAGATAATTGGAATAATAATGAAAAATTAATCCTAAGAGAGCTGCCGAGATCGGATGAGATCAAGTCCGGATTACTTGTAGTTTTGCTTTTTTTAAAATTATTAATCGTGCTCTGTCAGCTTGTATAAATTACATTTCATATCGAAATTTTTTTAGAAGAATAACGAATGTGTCTTATATTATTATTTGTGCACAGCATTCATTGTATTATACAATCAATGTTTCAGTTAATTATAGTAATTAGTTTCAAAAAATTTTTGTATTCCTGTTTATTTCAATTTTTTTAATTATTTTTAATATAATCTCAAATTATATAGTGAATATGTATTTAGAGAATTTTCTCTTTTCATAAAATTGTTATTCCATATCTGATAAATTTTGTTAATTCCTTTTAATCTTCATATATGTCTGTCTATGAAAAACGGAAAAATTCTAATAATTTTTATAAATAACATATCACATTTCTTCTTAATTACTCCACAAATAAAATGCTCCGTGAGTCTATTTCATACAGATTTAATAAAATCTAAAAATGCTTCGCACAAACTTTAAGATGTCAAATTGTCATAATTAAATCTGACAGAAACGCTCTTGGATTAATAATTGTAAAGGTAATTATCAATTTACCGTTAGCGTTATATATAGGGAAAATAGAGATTCCCAGTTTTCGTTGAAGCTCACCTATGACCGTAAGATTAATCTTCTGATTCTTCGTGGGACTATTCTTAAAATCCACTCTGCATCTGTATACACCGCCGTCTGTGAACTCCAAAGGATCTATCTCCAGCTCGGCGGGCTTTACGTCCGTCTTCATAACCGCCCTTTCACCGAACACGTACGGATCCGACCAAAGCCTCGCCTGAGCTATCTGCCTCCCCCGAGCGTCCATGCTGTATATCGGTTCGCCGTCCTTTTCATCTTTGTACCAAAATACCATGATGACCGTCTCGTCTTTAATCGGCGGATCGATGTCGCAAGGTATCTGAGCTTTGAAACCGGCCACTGCGCTTACGTCTGATATGGGCACTGAAAATTACAAGGAAGCGACAGAGTTAGCCTTGCGAAAAGGCTATATGGTTCTTTACATTATATATATAAATATATATATATATATATATATATATATAATATATCTTTAATTATATATATAATTTTTTAAAGATATATCTTATTTTAGATTTTAAAATATGTATGTACATATATCTTAAGATCTTCATGTCATTCTTCATATCTTAAGATCTACTCTTATATATTTTAACAATTTCCTGCAAGTCTTCGTAATTTTGCATAATAAGTTCGATTAATTAATATTCATTAAATATGAAACTAATTTTATTAATTCCTCTTTTCGATTTTGCGATCAATCGAAGGAGTATTAACGCGTCTTTAATATGTGGACCATTCTCACCACACCATATAGTTATGCAGCGCTCGCAACGCACTGCCGACATCGCACGTACGACAATTCCCCGAGCGAGGAGAACACGCGCATTCTCGGGTAAGTTGCCTCGTTGCGTTTCTGCGGCTACGCTAACAGGTCCCGCATTCGGTAACAACGCGGCCCGCGTATCGTACGTTTTCTCACTGAGACCGCAAATTTGGAGTTTTAGTCAGTCACCGTCGGCGCCGATCGAATTACTGCAAATTGGTCGAATGCACCCCGGGCCGAGCGAACCTCCGAGCGAAACTAGTTACCAGAGACAGAGAGAGAGAGAGAGAGAGAGAGTATGCACGCGCGCGTGTGGTCGTGCATAGAAACAAAACGCGCGCGGGGCCGCACGATCGGGTGAACCCAATTAATCGGTCTACTTGCCGATTTATAACGGCGCACGCCGACTGTCGGCCGCGCGCGATTTTATTGGCTTTCATAGCCGTCCCATCCATCGTCCTCTGGCGTCTAACGCCCAATCAGCCCGATCGACGGCGGTCTCATTATCTTTTCTCTCCCGTTGACCTTAGACGTAACGAGCACCGTGTGAGTTACCTTCGAAACAGACGTCGTCGTCGCCGCCACCGCTACCGGCCGCCGGAGATTAATTGAGCGCGAACGCGGCTGACGTGTATCGGCTTTTTCCACTGCGCGCGACTCGGCGCCGGACGGCGGCGACGAGAAGAAAAACGCAGCTTGGCTTGGGTTAGCTGGCGCATAATCCATTGCTCTTTTTTTTTTTATAGGATGTTGAATCCCATGTGATGATTACGGAGAAGACTGTTTTAGAAAAAGATTCCGTTTCACATGATTACTTGATCCGATAATTACTTAATTCGATTATACGTTAAACGTACCTAATAAGCGTCAAAGGACTATTAATAATTGAAAGGATTACTTATTTTTTAACGTTCGTGATTTTTGTCAAACTCGCAGATATTCGCTGATATTATTTCAACAAAAATGAAGTTACTCTTTGATGAGACCCTTAAATAAGATTCCTATAATTTTAATAAAGCGAGAAAAAGAAAGAGAGAGAGAGAAAAAGCAACCATTGATTCTCTCGCGTAACGACGACACGGATCTCGCGCGCATCCAAATTCCGCGTTGACGTGAGCTCTGAGATTCATCACGGACGATGGCGGTGTTAATGATACGATGTAATTAATGCCAGGTGATGAATAGCTGTACGCACGAAGTAACTCGTTAACAAACGGCAACGAGCACGTGGCTTCGCTTTCGCACCTTTGCGCTCCACTGACGTGGCGCTCTGAATATTCACACGTTGACGCGTTTGCATGTCCGTGCATCGCTGAAGTTATGCCCACCGGGTGAAAATTGCGCGGAGATAGCGACTGCGTTATCGGGAATAGAGACGCGTCCGCGCACATAAACATTTACGAAGAGCAAACCAAGGTATACCTATAACGTCCAATATAACGTCGCGCGAAATGTTGCAGCGATTCCCGACCCGCGAGCCCGGGTGGATTTTGTAAAAATGATCAAAAGCGAGGTGACACGGAGATGATTCAATATTTAGAAACCGCGTCGAGTCCGCGACGACGTACGTTAACGGCCAGACGTTGCGAAAATAATCACGGTTGCACGAACGCGCCGATTAAGCCGTTACGAAACGGGGCGGGCGAGGTGGGCGCCGTTAATGCCGCAATTAAAATGTTAATAGCACCGGCGAGTCCTATTACCTCGTTAAATCCTCTCATGAAACCTCGCAAATTGATGACTTAGACAATGAACCATCGACAGACTCGGCGGTATAACGCAGACGCTTGCGTATTCCGTGTGCGTGCACGCGTGGCACGTACGTAGGTGCCTTGTCCGCGGCGGGCGCGCGTGGTGCGTGTGTGTGCGGTTGCGCTCTCTCTCTCTCTCTCTCTCTCTCTCTCTCTCTCTCTCTCTCTCTCTCTCTCTCTCGCGTGCGCGCGCGTGTATCGCGTTTACTTGAGAGAGCGTGGCGAATATCCGTTTCTCTCTCCGGTAACGCGGGACGCATACGTATATATCCGCCGACACGACGATCCCGGAGTAATTATTCAAAGCAAACACGAACGCCGTCGTGGATCGGTAATACGTCGCATTACCCGCGCCCGTGTATACACGGGGCCGCGCGCATACGGGATTTAAACACGCGCCGTATACGACGCGAAGAACGGACGCGAAGTAGCGTAATATTGATTGGTGGATGGATCGGGTTTATTGACATCGCTCCGGTTAACGCGAATATATAAATTTAGCGACTCTGATTCGTGTTTCCGTTGACATCCTCCCCACCTATCCCTCCCCCCCGGCTGTGTGTCCATTATTGCGCTTCGTTTTGGCACAGTTGTTAAATAAAAAACTCGAACTCGACTCGAACTCTATCGTGGCAATTTATATATTATTGTATATTTATATTGATTTCAACAACGGTTGAAGTGCAGCGAGATTCGCGATTCCAACGGGGCAGTAATATTTCGCCATTTTTCACGTACTATCTACTATATACCTGCACTAGCGTTCCCTTTCTCTTTATATCAGCTCGAATGCATCATGATACCGATATATTTCCGCCGACTATTTTCTAATACGCAAAAATTCAATTTGCGCCGCAGCGGTTCGCCGGCTTGAAAGTGCGAGCCTTGTAATTTGATCAAAGCACCGCTGTAAACATCGCGAATGCGCAAACGTGGATGCGACTTGTTTTCTATAGATTCAGGCATCGCTGGCGGACCGACGAGTTCCAGCCAAACATACGGAAGGTAGAAACCGGCACACATCCGGCAAGCAATAAAAGGAAGATAGGTGGATATAGCGATTGAAGGGCGAACTGACGCGCGAGTCGCGCGGAAATTGTATTTCGCATATTTTCATATATATATATATATATATATATATATATATAACACATACATATATGAAAATATGTGAAATATATATATGCATTTGTATATATCGCGCTGTATGTAGGGAGAACGGAATGGAATTTCCGGTGGACATACACTAATTCTTAAATACCTCGTCGTACCTGCAGATTCGCTACGGCCGTTAAAAAGTCGAGCGTCTTAAATACCGTCAAAGGGTTTAAATGCCGATAAGAACGATCAAGCTGAATCTATTAAATTTCGAAACCAACAATCGCGTCACTGCGTATTCTCTCAGAATCCATACAGAACGAATGGTCGGTACTTTCGCGCACAAGCACCGCGCGCCACGTCGCGTCGTGCAAATACCTACGAGGTGGCAACTTTCTTGCCAAGGTAAAGAATGCACTGGGAAAACTTTGACAAAATGCTCTTTACGTACTTTCCCAGTCGCCGCGAGAGGAGGTAAAGATGGAAACAGGACATTGAACGAATATTCCATTTCTCAATAGGGAATCCGTCGGTTACCTTTCCTTCGTTCCCGAGTGCGCCACCAACTTGACCCAGTTTCTGCATATAAACCGCACGTGAGCGCGCGCGCGCGCGGTATAGTTAAACATTAATAAACGCAGAGAAAGAAAGAGATCTTGAATTATTTACAGACAGTGAAATGCGAATCTTGAGTTTGATTACGTAATTAATACATCGATCATGAAAGACTAATTTGACGTCTATCTGACTTTTGCAATTTATCCATTTATAAATCCCTTAAAAATTTAATGTTTCGCGCAAGTCGCAAGAGTTCTAAGAAAGCCATATATGCGATCGCTTCTCGCTCGGAAATGCATATGATAACTTCTTATACTGTGTAGAATCTTTCCATTCACAACTTCATTAGGGAGGACGCGTGTATATCTGTGTAACGACGGAGGCCGCTCTAATGAACAATGATCAAACTCATTAACAAGCCATAAATTTCGCTTGTCCGTGGCGATTATTATCACCGGCCTATTTAACTTCGTAACGTCGGTAACTCGTCCGGAGCCGCGCGTGCAAACACCGGGGCGGTGTGCAAACGTGGTGCCGGCTCCTTTACCGCCGCATCCGGGAAAACGGCGGCGTCACACACCGCCCCCTGTCGTCTCCCCCTTTCTTCTCCCTCCCCCCCTCCGAAAACCGCCGACTGAACAAACACACGCCGGGTATGACGAAGAAGGCAAACCGAGGAACCGAGGGGGATGAGGGTGGCACACAGGGGGGGAGGGGGGGAGGGGCGGATGTACACAAGCGCACGCAGGGTGAACACGGGGTGGGTGAGCCCGCCGCCCGCCGCCGCCGCCACCGCCGCCGCCGGAGATACGCGGCTGGGAGAGAATTAGACGGAAGTAGATGAAGCGATAAAAAGGACGAGGCGAAAGTAGGGCGAGGTATAGGCACGACGTACGTCGGGCGCACGGATTCGATTCGTGGTAAATTATTTAACAGGTCCCGCGGATATGGCGGACGCGGAAACCAAGCGACGGTGGGGTTTGTGTACCCGCGTCGCCGCTATACACAGCTCTCCGCCGATGTTTATCGTGCGCTTGTCACAACAACGGGACGCGGTAACGGGAAAGGCCAACAAATGCGATAAGGCGCGAGTGTACGAGCGGTAACCGAATTCGCTGTATAATTGGCACGTTGTCGGACATCAAGATGACAAGTAAACGCCGCGTCGGGCGGCAAAGTGATCGAATCGA